GAAGGATTTTGGAGTAGGGACCTATATGGCTGTGCAGAAAAAATGCTCTTACAAGCACATATTTGAGCAAATCGTCGCTTCTGATTGGGATAAGAATTGCGTTTTGATTGAAGATAATGATGGGCCTCATGGAACCAAAGGCAAGGGATTTAATAAGGTCAAAGCTCTTAAAGACCATCTTGGTATCCAATGGGAATCAAATCCTCCGAATTCGCCAGATCTCAACCCTATTGAGACCATTTGGAGGATAATCAAGCAGAGGTTGAAGTCCAGGGGGGTCATCTTCAAAGAAGCCATTCTGCGCCGCGCCATCCAAGAGGAGTGGGATAAAATAACCATTGAGGAGATTAATAGGGCTATCTCAACAATGCCAGATAGAGTAGCTGCCCTAAATGAGCGAAATGGGCGCCCTATCCCCTATTAAATGGCTGTGTAGATAGCACGAATCTGAGAACTGCCATAAATTTCTGCGCCAAGCTTCGGCCCGAAGGCCCCGATTTGGAGCAGCACACAGACATACCGAGGCGCTGGGCTGAAACCCCTGACGATCATCCTTTGTGATGAGATCTTGAATCTGACCGAACACGAGGACCCTTGGCAGGAAACAACGCCAAACTTTCGCTTTTCTATCTTGTTACTAGCGATGCCTGGTCTGGAAGCTCTGCTATGAGCATGTTACCAATATGCAAACATTAGTAACCAGAGACCTGTCAAAACTTGTACAGGAATTTTCAAAAAGCACAAGGTGTGATGTCTGATGTCTCGACGCTTGAAGGGGGAGTTGTCGAAAATAAAATTGCGTACTCTATCATTGGTTGGACGATGGAACCCCTTATTAGTCTATCCTTTGTCGAACTTAGACAAGCACACCGGGCTGCAAGGGTGGCTGACTCTCGTTTGGGCATGTCGAATTCTGCCTAACCATCTTAAGCCAGCTATCAACTTGTGTTCCCGTCCCTCCTGAGTAATATGTGGGTGATCCCCAGGCAGTCCGTCACCTCGTTGCATTGGATGTTCCGAGTCGTACGTAGTAAGTCTTGGTCGAGATGGATACTGGATTGTGGCTTGAAAGCTGCAAGGCTCAATTAACGCTGCAGCGGACACCAGAGCTTCAAGATGTTTCTGTAAAGTTGCAAGTACACCACTTACTGAGAGTCGTCGCGCTTTCCTTCCTCTCTTTCGTTAAGTTATCTTTCTTCGCCTTTGTGCGATAGTCACTCGTTTACTCCGTACACAGGTCCTCAAAATGAAGTGCCATCACATCATCTCTCTTGTTCTTGCGCTTTCTGCCCCTATTGCTGCTTTCAAAGATAATGGACAGCTCCAGAAGGCTGATGGTGAAAAGAATACCACCTACGTGACCAGATACGTTACAGTCTGTCCGACTCCCAAGACCTGTGAATTTGCATCACCCACGGCAGTTCCATCTACAAGATCACATCCGTCAGGTTCTCGATCAAGCGAATCCGGGAAGCCAACTGGGTCGTCATCAGCTCGTCCAAACTCATTTGTCAAGCCAACAAGTCCACCGCACCCTACTGGCTCTGACAGTAGCTCCCACTACCTTCCAACTAGTGCGGGCAATACCAGAAGCAGCAATTCGACGACCCCACAACATCCCACCGGCTCTAAAAGCAGCTCATATCGTATGCCAACAGGCACTGGGCGGACCAGCAGCAGGACTTCAGTCAACTCTACCTCGCAATATTATCCTACTGGTTCTAGCTACAGCAGTTCGGTAAAGATAACTAAATCTGCCAACACCACCAAATCAGAGACCCACCCAACCAGCTCTAGGGCGAGTGCGTCTTCCTCATCAACCACATCTGCCACCTCATCCTCGGTACGCTCGTCTCCAACCGAATGTGTTCCTAAAGCCACCGCGGTCCCCAATCCTCGATCTGGATCCACCTGCGGCAAGAAGGGCGGCACCAGCGCTACCGGGATTGCAGACTCCTACACCACTGATGCGTCTTCATGCGCTCTGGCCTGTCACTACAAATCTCGCTGCGTTGCCTTTTCCTACGATACCAGCAACCCAGACCTTCCCCTCTGCAGATTGTACGCTACGAGGGTGTCTTCTGGAATCAATGACTATGGTATGTATACGTTCTATGACTCTACTTGCTTCCAGGTAGTGGAGGATTGTCTGTCGCGGAAGAAGCGGTCGGTGGGATTATCTGAGGAGGAGATTAGGAGGATCATTAAGGCTTAGATGCAGAAGGCTTGTGAAGTGATTAGCAGATTCTTGTGCTATGTATATTTACCCTCTCGGATGACTGCTACAGTGTCGGTACATATGTCAAAAGGCAGAGATGGAGAGAGAAGAAAGTTTGGGGCTCGTCATATAGCATACGATTTCCTTCGATGACAATTCATTTCGATGATCATGTCCAAGTCCGACAGATTCCCTTGTTCGATCTTTCAAGTCAGAAGATTGGTCCTGAATCTCATGCTCAAGCCTGGGATCTTGTCATTGGACGATGACTGCCTCAGACCTGCCTCCCAGAAAATGTAAGCCTGTCCTGCTACTCTTCTGTTCTCACTTCTTGAAGTACTGCGAGTTACTACTTCAGTCTTTTACTACGCATTTCTGTGTTAAAAGTACTCGAGTCTTCAACTGTGGACGTGCCTCGCACCGCATGCAGGCTTGTCCCTTGCGGCATTTGAGTGCTGCCTGGCACAGAAGCCTTGTCACTGATCTCCAATTCCACAGCATTGTACATTGTACATTGTACATTGTTCCTGATCAACCAATCTCCCATCTCCCATCGGCTGGTACTCGGCAAAGCGGAGCGCTAGCCGGCCACTATTCTTACCCAGATGGAGCCTAAAAGGTGCTCTTTTGGGAATTGCGTGCATTGGAGTGGACATGACTCGCTACATTGTGGTATTGTGGGGCATAACGTAACTAGTAAATATTGCTAGACTGGTGCCAGTAGTGGCTAATCCCAGAAACCCCTGTCACAGTGCTGCAATTCGTTACTGCAAAGCTTTGACTTATGCACTTCCATTCCTTACCCCGTACTTTCCCTGATGGAAGGATTGGGGGGAGATGATCGAGACACCTGTGACAGAATTTATGGGCCTCGGCCGCCCTTGCTTGTTCATGGTAATCAGTCTAATGCTCCTGTGCTTCCTCCATACTCGGATCAGTCTTACTACGTACATCAAGTCCACGCACGATAAGCTTCATGTCACTCGTGTATGTGCCTTCACTTGGACGTGTATTTTTATCAACCTGCCTGCGACAGCCGTTGCATGCACTGTCGGTACCGACCCATGGCTTAATGAGTATGGACTATTCACAGCACCAATCTCCTGTGTTGTCTTGAGACCTAGAAATGCTTATGGGATATGATACTACGTACAGTGCGGGTTTGGATCCTTTGAAGCAGCAGTACGAGGATCGCATCCTTCTGCTGGCGCTCTGACAGTTTTGCCATGCTTAGAGCGCCTGGGCATTGACGGCTGAAATCTGAAATGCTGACCAGCTTGGTGTCTTAGACTTTGCATGCCGACATAGGACGGTCATTGGCGAAAGTACCTTATTCCTCACTCAGCCGCTGACTGGAGCAGAGAGAAAAGGATACATCTACCATTCCGCCGAAAGGACAGGTTAGGGTTCGAACCTAAATGGTAGATGGATTTTCAATAGCAGACTAGGGGCAGATCCTTCGGACTTAGTATGTAGCACTCCTCCAATTGACTTCAGGCTGTTGACAACATCAAGGCCAAGCCCGAGGCACATTCAAGCAATTGGTGGCACACCAGATCCGACAACAGCTGGGAGACTCACAAACGAGGAGACTGCACTGACGAGATGCCAAATCTTTTGTCATTCGGCTGTAGGGGAGAACGAAGACCATTGGCTCGATGGGCCTGGGCCTTCTGCTTGGGCGAGAGTGCGGCCACGAGTTGGTTGGACCCCGCCTGCATGCAGCGGGATACTACATCAACCCCCTTGTGCGCGTCTGCAGCATAATAATTCTAGCTGAGGGCAATACTTCTTTGAGCTCACCTGCTCTGTTTCCCTTCCCTTCCCATTCCTTCCCCAGCCCTCCTCTTGCGTGCATCTTTCATCATCACAGCTGTACCAAGGGCACAATCACCGAGAAGAGCATCAGAGTGGTACATCACAAGGCTCAGCATGGAGAAACACAGCGAGGGCGGCGGCAGACGGACGTCGGTTAGTTCCCATATCCTGGCCGACCCTGAGGATAAGGCCGTTTCTTTCGACGAAGCCGTACCCTTTGACCAGCAGGCGACCAAGAACCTTCTACGGAAGCTTGATTACCACCTTGTCCCTTTCCTCGCCCTTCTCTACCTGTGAGTGCCCTTATATCCCCCAGCTCTCCTCCCACTCCAGCTTCTCCATCCCCAGCGATCTGTCTGACTGGGAAATACACCTCAAAGATTGAGCTTCCTTGACCGTACCAACATTGGCAATGCACGGCTTGCCGAGCTTGAGGTCGATCTTGGGATGGAAGGGCTCGATTACAACATTGCCCTGGCCATCTTCTTTCCTTTCTACGTTGCCGCTGAGATCCCCAGCAACATGATGTTGAAGAAGCTGCGGCCCAGCATCTGGTTCACCTTTATCATGATGGCATGGGCCATCTGCACTACATTGATGGGAGTCGTCCAAGACTTCCCCGGCCTACTTGTTTGCCGCGCCTTCTTGGGCGTCGCTGAAGGCGGGTTATTTCCTGGGGTCACTTATTACATCACGATGTGGTACCGTCGACACGAATGTGGCTTTCGCATGGCTCTGTTCTTCTCTGCTGCGACTGCTGCTGGTGCGTTCGGCGGCTTATTAGCCCGAGGCCTTTCTGAAATGTCTGGTCTTGGAGGTCTTCGTGGCTGGGCCTGGATCTTCATCATTGAGGGCATTTTGACCTTTCTGGTGGCATGTGTGGCATATTGGGTCATCAATGACTATCCCAAAACGTACATGCTCCCTTCTCCGTCAATGGTAGCTCAACCCGATACTGACATGGCCACAGCGCCAAATTCCTCACCCACTCGGAACGAACGGAGGTGCAACGCCGACTGAAGGACGACCGGTCTTCGCTCGCCGACGAGTTCGATCTTAGATACTTCCATCAAGCAATCAGGGACTGGAAAATATATGTGCACATGTTTATCACGATCGGAATCTACACTCCCCTCTATTCCATCGCGCTCTTCCTGCCCACCATCGTCAGGAGCATGGGCTACACCAACGAACGAGCCCAATTGATGACTGTTCCTCCTTACGTTGTCGCCTGTGTTTTCACCATTGGCGCCGGCTACGGCGCCGATCGGGCAGGGCAAAGAGGCATCTTCATGATGACGTTCGAGCTGGTGGCGATCGCTGGATTTACTATGCTTATCAGCAGTGGCAGGCCGGCGGTGCAGTATGTCGGCACCTTCTTTGCCGCAAGTGGTGAGTTTTCTTCCCAGTCGCTTGAGCGATGTTTGGTCCGAATTAGGCCACTCACGTCCTGCTCCAACAGGGATCTATCCGCTCGTCCCGCTCGGCGTGGCATGGAACGGGAACAATATCGGTGGCAGTCTCAAACGGGGCGTTGGCATTGCCATGCACGTCGGCTTCGGTAATCTTGGGGGTGTGATCGCTGCTTTCGTCTATCAATCCAGGTATGGACCGAGGTACGTCACTATCACTCCCCCCAGAATTTCTTTCCCTGATCAATCTACTTCCAGATTCTTCAACGGCCACGGCATCCTCATCGGCACCATCACCATGTCTTTCGTCCTGTCCACACTGATGACGATCTATCTTCGTCGGGAGAATGCACGACGGGATAAGGAGGCGGCGGCTTTGGGGAAGATGACTTTGGATGATTATACGCAGGAGCAGAAGGATGAACAGAGGCATCGTGGTGACTATGCTACATTTTTCCGGTATACTATCTAGACTTGGGTTGTCATCACAAAGATTTGGTCCGGAAGGATTGGGAAGGATTGGGAGGATATGCTGGCGGTGTATTGTAGATATCTTCCAGGATAGATCTCAAGACAGCTGGGCATAAGAAGACTGGACTGACTGGACTGTAATACATTTACTCTTCCTTCTCTTTTTATCTCAAACGTGTGGATGAGATGGGATGTAGGGATCCATCTCATGCTTTCCGGCGTCCATCTTCTCCGCCTTATACACGGAGTTATTTTCCTATCGATCTGATGGCGCACAATTTACTTGGTGAAGTTGCCGGTGCCGGCGGCTAAGACGACGAAGCTGCTACTCTTTTTCTCTCACAGTCCGGAAAGTCTACCAATCAGACTCGAGCAGTGCGCAACGACGACCAAAAAAAAGAGAAGATATCAAGCACCGCCCGCACCAACCAATTGGACCGCATCTTTCTTTGCCATCTCCGGTGAACGACGTGCGTAGTAACTAAGTTAGTTTGTTCATGCATCCCAGGGCCCGGATAAGTACTTACTCCACCACCGGCCACCCTCTTCCGCACTCCATTCTCTTCCAAAAAAGAAAGAAAAAAAAGAAAAAAAAAAGAATAGAATCACTAAGAAGACGCATTGTACGAGGTACTAAGCTAGTATGCGCGATCCAAACTACACGCCCACGCCGCTGAGGCCCATCCGCCCTCCCTCTCCTAGTAATAATAGCAGCAGCAGTAGTAGTGGTGGTGGTGGACCGCATCATCCCCCCTCCTCCGACTCGCAACCCTCCACCACGACACCCCCACCCTCACCACCAAAACCCAAACCCAAACCCCAACCGCTCCCCCTCCGAATCCTAACCCACAACATCCGCTACGCGACCCCGACCCCCTCGCGCGGCGAACTCCCCTGGCCGCAACGGCTCCCTCACCTGCTCGCCGAACTGCAGTAC